TTGAGAAAATTTTTGCTATGATTAACTGGAAATCAACTTCGTACGCAAGATCGATCAGCGACGCATACCCTCACCTCTGGACACGGCGAGACCCCCGGTTCTATTCCCAGACCTACCATTTTGCACCTACCTCCAGCCAATTTTCTTCCACTACAGTAAGACCAGTGGCGTGGAACATTTCATCTCCGACGGTTACCTCTATTTTAGACTCCGCGCCTGGCGACAAGCAGAGATGTGAAAACTCTTTGTTGGAATAATTGTTCGCCTTTCTCAGCTCAGGTGACGAATCAAGGTAGCAGTGTTAAAGAAATCAACAACAATTTCCAAAGAAAAAATTCCTCAGAATTTCCATTTCGTCACCAGCACTTCTTGTTGACCATATGCATATTTTCCCCCACACTATATGCATTTTCCCCCATATTTTCCCACACTATATGCACTTTTCCCGTATTTTCTCACACTACATGCATATTTTCCCACACTATATGCATTTTTCCCATGTTTTGCCCCACACTATATGCTAATTTTCCCATATTTTTCCCCACACTATATGCAGATTTTCCCATATTTTCCCCCACACTATATGCAAATTTTCCCATATTTGCAAATTTTCCCTCACCTATAGCATCGGGTGCCACACATGCCAGGAAGTGCCTCGTGATGAGCTCATACACTCTCCACTGTTCTCCTTGTAAGGGTATCTGGGATCCAGGGCCGGCCAACTGAACCGGATGTATAGGAGGATGAGCACCTACACAACGATGGTGGTAATGATCATCATATAGCAGGAATATATGTTCGCGTATCTCACCCGAGAGAATTCGCGTAGAAATGTTCGAAAAACAACGGAAATTTCCCAAAATTTCTTCAACATTATCCCATTGTACTTGACCATAGCCTTATATCGAGTAGTGATACCAAAAAAAGGAAAAATCGGAAAATTATCTACTCTAAGCTCAGCGAATTCGGATAGAAGTGTTCAGAAACCAACGAGAATTCTCTAAATTTTCTCATTCCTTGAAAGTTCAATTCATCAACAATCTCACCAGCAGATCCCCGTTACCATCATCATGATTCCCCCTCCGTGCTTGCGTAAACTTCCCTTGCATAAGTTGATTCACAAATGGCCCCCATACGTGACTTCCTTGCTGTAAACGAACCAATTCTAGCAGATCTATATTAGGGT